ATCACTTTTGATTTCTTTTAAAAAATTATTGAAAGATAAATAATCAAAATTCTCTTCTTGATTCTGTATTTTACTAAAATAATATTGTAAAGTCATTAGTATAAAAATTTTTTTTTATATGTAATACAGTAAAAATAGTATATAAAATTTACAAAAGTATAGTGAAAGACATAAAATTTACAAAAGAATAAGAGTATGTAACAATAACTTAATATGTTAATACAAACCTAAATTCATTACTTGTATCAATCTACCTTTTAGCTATTATATATAAATTTCCATTTTCATTTTCATTGTTATTTATCATATCATATTGATCGATTAAAGCAGGCTTTAGGCATAATGATATATAAAAAGAATGATCTTTCACATTAAGTACTTTAAAAAAAATAAAATAATATTACATACATATATATATAACTTTAATTATACTGATACTAACTACTTGCAATATATGAAAAGATTATATAATTAATGAAGGTAAAAAGTTTATGATTCTAATATAATATTTTATGGTAATATATCTTGGTACTTACATAGTGTATCTGTTAACTCAATAAAATAATTACATATTCTGATAGCACTATTCATAATATAAACAAGTCCTGATTCCTTTTTTGTACTCAGTACTAGATATTTATCCATATTTTTTAGCTGACAAATTAAATCTTTATTGACATTTTCCTAACTGAGACACAAGAACCTCCTTGCAATTTTCATATGACTGGAATGTCAATGTGCAAATTCATATAGATGACATTCATAAAATCATTCCATATTCTTAGTAATAAAATAAAAAACTTGAACTAAATTAAAAGCTTAAGTTCTTGCGAAAATAATATTCTTAAGCAAACTGAAGCTATGTTCTATATAATTATTTGTATAATTACCATATAATAGTAAATTTAACTAAAAATAATGTGCCTAATATTGTTGGCGATTTTAGAGATACTTATAATGTTTTGTGAGTAACAGATATTGTTGATAATAAGTGTTTTTTAATTCTTGATAGTAGTTATTAAGGTTAGTTTCTGTATGTACAAACAAAATCTTTTTTATTTAATTCATTATTGCTATACAATATTCTTTGTCAATAACTTATTTTAAGCTGTATAACCAGCACCAGAACACTTGTAATACATAAAATATACTCAAAAACAGATTGAATTGTGGCCAATGAAGTCTTAATGCACTTTGTTCTGTAGCTGAATCATCAGTTAAAATATTTTAAGACCTAACATCATATCCATGACTGAAAAATGCATGTTCTGAAAGAATTAATTTTAAGAGATTAATAGCTTTTTTGATCATGATTACTAGTTCATCAGATGTAATAAATAGTCTTAACAGCAATGCACCAGCTATTCAACTTGTATACAAAAGTGTTATTAGTGTATTTAATGGTTCAAATGATACAAATATATCTATTTAACATATTTCTCTAGCTTCACAAATCTTCTCATATACTCTATTCATCAACTCTATAACAATACACAATATAAAAGCTTTTCCTACTTGTAAATTATATTCTTGAAGAATTGCACACCTATAACCTGATGCATTATAATTTGAAACCTCTTCGCTTAAAGGCTAAAATATCAATACTCTGTTTTGTCTACTGAGCTAAGAATTGTGATACTGTTCAAAAAGATGCAGTATATAAGTATAATTAGAATAAATTGCATAATCAGCAAGAATTTCAACAAAGTTTTCATTTAATGAAGCTAAAAGATGTAATTCATCTTTATGAGTATATAAAGCAGACATAAGTAAGTAACTATTATGAAACATTTGTATAAATTTATTGTGTATTTCTTCATTTATATGTCTAAAACTAAGTGACTTAGCTAAAGTAACAATATGATTATGTTTAAAGCAAAGTTTAACTTCCAAAGTATAACTAGTAGTTATATACTAACATTCTAACTATAAACACAAGGTTGCTGAACAACCTATATTTCTATTGCATAATAATTTTGAATATTTGATTTTAGTATTACCTTATTTGTTTCTAATTATTTGACTATAAATGCAATGCTTTAATTCTCTAAAAATAACTTATTTGCCTTTAACCCCATATCCTTTCGTCTGCAATATCATTATTTTGAAGTAGTTTTCAAAAGCAAAAAACTATACTTTTATATCTTCTACAGTTGAAACATTAATAAATATTTCAACCTCAAATTGCTGTATTTCAAAGCTCTCATCAGTATAATATAGCAGCAATTTTATAATATGTCGAATCTTGTAACTATAATTTGGAAGAAAAATATCCTGTAAAAAATTCAGCAAATAATGCCAATTAAATATCTAAAAAAAACATATCATTTATTATTATTATTATTTTATTATAAAGAAAATTTGTATTACTTATTAATTCAATTTACCTCACAAAAAGTTTTATCATCTGTATCATTAAGATTTGTAGTATCTTGAATTGTTTCATAAGAATTACTATCCAATTCATTATAATCAATTTTTATAAATTATAAGATAGAAAATACAAAGATTCATAATAGTCAGACAAATGATTCATAATGAGAGACATATATACAATTTAATTACTCTAGTATTCTTATCAACAACTATAGTATCAGAAGCATTCATTTGTGTTATACCATTTGTAAATATATTGTCTACATAATTAGTTAATATATTACTTAGGTTATCCCATACACAGTTTATAAGTATTTGATTTGTAAGTATTTTATATGTATGATTTGTAAGTGTATGATTCGTGAACATATTTTCTATAAGATTCATGAACATATTTTCTATACAACTAGAAAATGCATTTTCTATATAATTAGCAAACATGTTTCTCCCTATATTAATTGTGAACATATTGTTATCCTTATCTGTATAATCTATGAATGTGTGATTATACTTTTGTAAATATGAAGTTGACTTCTGTTATTAATATGAATGATGTATAAATTACTATTCAAACAAGAATTACTTATATATTAATTACTTACGTATGCAAGCTTGAATCTTTTTTTTTTATTGTTCGTCGTTTCTAACTGCTGTATACACTTTTTTTTTATTGTTTGTTTCTAATTGCTGTACACACATTTTTTTTTATTGTTCATAATTTCTAACTGCTATATATACTTTTTTTTATTATTTGTTATTTCTAACTACCGTACAAACTTTTTTTTTATTGTTTGTCATTTCTAACTACTATATACACTTTTATTTTTTTTTATTGTTTGTTGTTTCTAACTGCCATACATATCTTTTTTTTTTTTTTTATTGTTTGTCATTTCTAACTGCTGTATATATCTTTTTTTTTTTTATTGTTTGTTGTTTCTAACTGCTGTGCACTTTTTTTTTTTTTTTTTTTTATTATTATTATTATTGTTGTTGTTCGTTGTTTCTAACTGCTATATACTCTTGACTTTATTACTTATTACTCAGAAATTGCAATGCACTATATTTGATATGCTCAAAGGTTTGTATATGTATACTATTTATATACCTACTATTCTTCTTCTACTATACTTCTTTCTCTTTACTTCTAACTTCTACTAAGCTTCATCTTTCTACAACAGATCTCTTGCAATATTTATTAGATTCTGGTTTATTGAGAGTAATAAGGCAAAGGTTCATTCATACAAATTGAGATAAAAGTTCATTCATACAGATCAAATACTATATTTATTTATTTTCTAGTATACACATTTACATCACTGATTATATATAAATTATTATTATATATATACTATAAATTACTATCACTACATATAAATTGTATGTATACTATAAATCACTATTAATTACTATCACTATAAAATTATATACTATAAATTAGTATCATTATAAATTACATATTGCTAGAAATTATCAGTTATACTGTAAATTACTATTGCTATAAAATTATTAGCAAACTAATAATTCTATTAATCATGATATGTCTCTGCATAATCTAATCTAGATACTAAATAAATAATTATCTACTTTGTATAATTATTTGCATAATTATTTGGTTACACTGTAATAATCAATATAATCTGGCACAGAATATTTGGATGCAACTTTATTCTACTAAAAATTAATTCTGAAAATTTTAAACTACTATATGACATTAATAACAATCATTCAAATAATTATATTACTTTATAAATAATGAAATATTAACAATATTACAATATTTTTGAACTAGTATAGAATCATTAATTAAATTTTTTTAGCATTTACTTTTGTATTTTAAAATTAATAAAGCCAATAGGCTATTAACTTTTATATATATTATAAAATCATCTTTAGGGATTTTAACTAAATATAAAAAGTATACTATATATCTAAAGTATTATAAGCTTTATAATCTATTAGTAATTAAAGACTATGTTCAAGATAATAAGCTAGCAAGTATAAAGTATATAATTGTAAAATATCTCTATTATTGAAATAAATTATAATGATCAGTATATAATAAACTATTAGCAATAAAGTTAAAAACAATAGATAATATCTTATTATGATCATTGAAAATTTATTCAGTTAGATTTAATAATCTTAATATAATATTTAGATTATCAAATTACTATATAAGAGATTTGAGGTTCAAATTTTATTATCAATAAATTTGAATAATTACTTAAATCTTTGTACTTAACTTATAGTAAACTTTGTTTGTTTCTAGAGGTTATAGTCTTATAAATTATATTGTACTAATATCAATTAGATATTAGAATGTAATGCAATATTCAAGTTATATTGCATAAATAAATCTTAATAGAATCTATAAGCAGAAGATCTGCATAGTAGAAATTCTGAGTTTAGTAAAGTAGTATAAATTTCAATAATTATACTAGTTAATATTCAATCTAGTGAAGAAATCTGTATACAAAAGATATAGATCAAGTAGATGTTAATAAGTCTGCTATATAATGCAACCTAATACTCTGAATTAGTAGCAATACTAATTTGGCTTAGTAGCTAACTAGATTAGAAGAATCTATTACTAGTCAAAAATATAAAATTTGACTATGTCAAATATTAATAAAATTTGGCTTATATTCATCTTAAAATTAGCTTTTGAATTTAAAAATTAATACTTAAAAATAAATATCAACTCAAAATCAGCAACAGAAATAAAAAATTGACTAATAAATAAAAATTTGATTAGATCGAATTATAATAATATTTAGCATAAAATCAGTTCAAAGTAAAAAAAAAATCATCTTCTAAAATAAAAATTAATAATTATTAATATAGATACACAAGTACAGATAATGATCTAGTATATATGCAATTCAAAATTAACTTTAATTTATGTAAAATAGATAACTTAAATAGAGTTTATTTTGGTATTCTTAATGAGACTACTATGTTTGAAAATTATTTTTATTGTTTTAGTGAAGTTAAAACACAAGATGCAAAAGTTTATTAAGTATTTTATTTTTATATATATTACTAACAAGAGTATAGAAGGATATATTAAAGATTTTTTAAAACCTTTTTATATGAGATTTCACAATTTAGAATTTGATTCATTATCTCTGTTAGTAAAAGCCAGAACATACTAGAAAAAAATATTAATTATGTTATTATTACAATATAGATATAAATTTTAATTTTAAGAATGAAAACCTAAATCTAAAAACTTAACAATCTAAGTAACTTAAATCAAGATAGGTATCATTTATGAAATCTAGTAGATATAATAAATTATTATAATTATAATAATAACTGTTAGGAATAATATTAAAATTTGAATAATTGTGAAATCTAAAAACCCTATTGGCTAATCACTCTAACTCTAACTAATCAGATACGTTAATTTTATGATCATCTAAATTTCAGCTTCATCCTCTACAATAACTGTCATACTAAGACCCTTAATTAATATACATGATATCTAGAATCTGACTTGTGTAATATTACTTAATTTTGGTTAGATACTAGATTTAATTTTACTACTCTAATTATATTTAGAGGTAAAATCACATATTATTGATCATTAACAAATTTATTCTATTTTATTAGTAGAAGTAGCAAAGCTAACATATCATTCCTTATATTATAAAAACTTCAGTAGTAACTTCAATATATAGACCAAGTATTGCAGAGCAATAACCTAAAGGATCTACTATATATATGCTACTAAGAATATGCTAGAAAGTTTAAGCAAAAATATGATAAGTTCAACACAGATATTATTTTATAGTGATTGATTCATTGATCTAAGACATGTATAATATCACAAATGCATGTGACTTAATGAGATCATGACTAATACTAGGATTTATTCATATGTTAAATTTTAACAAAGAAGATCTTGCTGTTTTTCACAAGCAGAAAATTAATAGTTTTGCTCTTTTAAAATGACTAAATTAGATTTTCTAGAATGTGAATTCGAAATAGGATCTGCTATAAAATTTGCAAAATTTATTGAGGGTTTAGAACAAAAATTAAGAAGCTTCTCATCATATAAAATACTAGATAAATTAAAAGATATACTCTGAGAATATAAAGTTAATAGTGAGGATATCATGAATATCAAACAATTCAACTCAGATATATAGTATTTTTTTTCTTAGTAAAAACTATTTCCTCAAAGAACAATTAAATTTTTAGATATATAATAATTCATTTTCTTACTATATAGTTTTTAAAAAAATTGATGATGATGACAAAGCCTTCGAACAATGTATAAACAAAATAATACTACAGTTAATGAATGTAAATTAATAATAGAAGCTAATGAAGCAATGTGTTGCGAATTTATTTCATCTGTATTATATATATCAATATCAATTGTGAGAAGAATAACTAATAAAGAAATCAATATAGAATGCAAAGGATATTTTAGGTAAAGAAGCATCCAGAAGAGTTGATTATACTATAACTAGGATGGAGAATCTTTTATGTATCGCTAAGAAAAAAACATAAAATGTTAAGATTGGTTATCTTCAAAATATAAAACAACTTGAGAGTTCCTTCTATATGAACAAGAAGAAGCAAACTCAGATGAAGCATTTAAGACTGAGGATTATGACTATCTATATGAGATTGTATCAACAGGTATATAGAACAAATTCATGGGATAACTCAAAATCATGATTATTATGCTAGCTATACTAATTATTGAATTTATTTTTAGGTATAGATTGGCACTTTATCATGTTCATTTCTGAAGAAATTTTTTGTACGAGCAATAGTGAATATCAAATAGATCTCACAAAAAAGGTACTTAAGGGTAATCAGAAAAATCTGAGGGAGAATATAAAACAGGTAATCAGTATAGTTGTAGGATTATTGAAAGATAGAGTAACTGTATGTGATGAACCTGAAAGCAAGAGGTGTTGTATGCAAGAAAAAATTACCAAAAAATAACAAATAGATAGTTCCCTATATTTTACAGCAATAACTGTATTATTTTTAGTAAATAAAGAAAAATGATCGAGAATTTCTCTTGGAGAAAATAATCAATATGAAGAATTCTTCAAGTACATATGATTTTATTTAGCTAATCACTATACTGATATCATTTATTACAGAAGTCTTGATAATAGTCAAGGAAACTAAATTATTTTACAACATGTTTGGTATTATAATATATATATAGTTATTCTATAAAAAGGTAAATTTTATTAAAATACGATTTTTAAAATCAGCATATACATATAATTATTACATAACCTAATTGTTTCCAAGTGAGGTTTGAGGAGTTGGTATAGTTCCTGCAAGTAGTAATTGAGGATCTGTATTATTTCTTTGAAAGACTTGAGCTTCTAATTTGTTGCTTTCTATTTTCTCAATTATATAAATAATCTCTCGAATTGCATTCTACAAGATAACATAAAAATATCAAAGCAGATAAATATAAAGAGTATTAGAAATATACAGCTCAACACTAAGGTATTACCTTCAATTCCAACATTGTAACTATAAACAAAATTAATTCACAAATGCCTTCAAAAAGATGCAGTATATAAGTATAATTAGAATAAATTGCATAATCAGCAAGAATTTCAACAAAGTTTTCATTTA